AAAAAAGTATTGGGGCGGGAAATTTTGAAGAGGGCGAATAGAAAAAAAACTTTTTTTTTTATGTTTTTAGTTTAAAAGGGGGTTTAATTTTAATTAAAGTTCTTTGTCAAAAATCAGTTTCTGTATCCCTTTTTTCCCCCATTTAGTCAATTTAAAATACTGCTTACCTTTTTGCCAGTCCCTGTTCAAATCTGCTCAGTGACTGGTAGATCTCTTGATTACCACTGCTCCAATCCTCCCTTTCCTGGAACTTTGTTAACTGCATTGCAGCACACTCATTTCCTCTTCGGAAATTGAAAAGTGTTACCTTAGTCAGGAGAACATAAGCAAAAGTCCTCCAATTGTTCTTCGAAGGCTCAGTCGTTAACACCTGACTTTCAATTCCAATTTCTTTGTCCAAGTATTTCTGAAGCTTTTGTAAGTCCTCTGTTACTGGCAACATTTCCTTCTTGTTGAACTTTTTCTCATTTGTTGTTTGATGGGCCAAGCTCCCTATTTTGCTGGACCAATTTTTAGAATACAGAAATAAGAAATCTGTAAAGTCCTGTCTTTTCTCTCTGTTCCTCTCAACGACAGCCTCTCCCTCTGACATTTCTGAGAACTTTTTCACAATCTGTCCAGTCTTTCTGGCCAGCTGTGGTTTTTCAAACATTAAGACACCATTCAAGCTTCTCTCATCACTAATGCCAGTTATGTTCCTTACAGCCTGAACAAAAAGATCAAACTTTTCTGGTACAAGTAACAAAGCCAAACTCGATTTCTTTTCTGACTTATCAAGAGACAGAACTTCTAGTTTAATTCTTTCAAGAAGTCTCATGCGATAGCGAACTTCATTGGCCCTTCTCCTTCCAAGCCTTTCAAATTCATTTTTCCCGTATTTCACAATACCAATATCTTGCTTTAAGCCCTTTCCGACAGAATCTTCTTGTAATGATGAGAGCACATAGTAGAAGAAATCCTCTTCATCCTCCTTTGTGATCTGCTTGTTAGGAACACCAGCACCATTTAACAGTAAGGTACAATCTTCAATGAATTTTCTACTTTCCCTTTCCTCTTCACTATCTTTTAATACAATTGTGTCTTCCACTAAAGGTTTAGGCATGAACCGACACCGTTGCCCATGTCTCCAGAGTTCAGTTTTAACATAAAACCTTAAACAGTATTTACATGGCAAGTAATCTTTTGCACTGTGCACTCCTGCCTCTGGTCTCTTAGCCACTATCAGTCCATAACCCTTCTTATCACCATATTTCAGGATATCTACATTGTACAGAAAATCTCCTTCAGTTCGCAAAGCATCTAGTTCTCGCTCCCTCTCTAACTGTGACACACTTCCTCTCTTTTTAAATGAAGGCAACTGAGCAATCTCCTTTTCATTCATATGCTGTTTGCTGCATAAATGACGCGCAATTTTCAGATCAAGTTTTCCACAAAACAGGCAAGCATGTTGCTTCGAGTTGTCAGTTTTCCCCCTTCGATCTTCCTTGGGTTTTACTGTCATTATCTTAAGTGGTCTTTTACCTGAAAAACATGAGTCCATTTTTTTTCATTTGCTGAATTGTAGGAAGTTTAACGGCCATAAATCAAAATATCTAAAATTACAAAAGTGCAATTGTAAACCACATTATAAAATAAACTAAAGACAAGAGGGCCAGGATGCCCCTTTATTGCTCACCTGAGGAACATGCAAAAGGACACTACATGCCAAATAAGTTTAGGCCTTACCGTTTTTTGCAAGAAGATAATTTAATATTTTCCCTTTTAAAAGTTTGTGTTAAACAGTGACTCTCCTAAGCAGGGCCATTTTTCACCTCATGGGCATAATTTTAGCAATCTGTGTAGACTTCCACTAGTTGATGCTATATATACCAAATACATGTATCAAAGCTCTAGGTCCTGCGATTACCAATAAAACTAACAAGAAATTTCTTTTGGCATGTAATTAAATTTAAGCAATTTTGAAAAAGAACAAGCAAAGAAACATTTCTAAGCAGCTTAGTTAAAATAAAGCGTTTTACGAGATGTTGTTTAAACTTATAAAAAGTTGATGCTTGACAATGACAGACATCAGGTGATACATCTCACAAAGAGCACAGGAGGGGTATTTGAGAATTTTTTCAGAAGTGATAGTATTTCTCAAAGGTTACTCAAATTTCTGAATAAGAACTTTTAAAATATGGTGCCTTTTACACATCAATTCATTCAAAAAAATATATAATAGCTGTGTCTAGATAAACTTTCAGGCATTTCAAGCCTGTTTTCTTGGTTGAAATGATACTTCTCCATTAAAATATAAGGGTAATAGGAATTTTTTTAAGGGTAATGATTATTCTTCCCTTTCATACCCAAAAATACTTCAGCATTTTCAAAGGTTAATACCCTTTATCCCCCTTATCCGGAGTCCTGAAAAGATCCCGATCAAGAACATAATTATAATAGTTGGTTAATTAAAAAATTGTGTCTTCTATTAGCTGAACTTCATGCAAGAAACATCTAAGATTAAACTGTCACAAAGGATGAACGAGAGAGTTCATCTTTAAGGTTTTTTTTTAACTGTTTAACAGAGCTAAATAGCTGGGACTAGCAGGAAAAATTATACCTTCAAAATTCAACACAGTAAGGGGGAATTTGAACAATATATAATAATACCTCAAATCATTGTTCCATAACCTGAACAAATAATTCCACTTTTTGTAAATGAAGATAATCACTAATGCAATTATTAACAACACAAATAAAAGCAAAAACAGAAGAGTTGTGTCCATTATCATGAAAAGTTTTTCTTCCATTTTGACAACATGTGTTTGCTATGTTTTCTGTTCATAACAAATATGGCCGACTTCCTGTTTGTCCTCATTAACATCCCAAAAGAAAGAAGAAAGTGAGGACACTATCATTTCTTAAATTCTTATTGTCAGGAATGGATCATTTCTGCAAAAACATCTGCTGTTCCAATTTTTGACTTTTATCAACTGATTTCACCATAGCAGTCAAAAGACAATTTCTCAACACATACTATTTTTTGAAAAACTTAAATACATTTACCCTCTGATTTTAGTTTAGTATACAGCACACCAGAACAATATAAGCCATATGGCCGCAAACAAGGATGATTTGGGCTAATCTTCAGTATCAAATTGTTTTGGGAAATATTATGCTTTTCTTAGTGAACAAATATTCTGTTATTAAAGCTGTGATTGTCAGTTTTACCTAATCAGATAGTTTATATTCCTGAAAACACCACATCCACATCTACAAGTAAAATACACAGTTCAGCAAATACTTAGTTTTCATATATCTTATGCAAGTGGGATGGTATGCAACTTGGTTAAAAATTAGTTATGGGTGTTTTCTTTTCAGTGTAGATTTGGATGCTCCAGCTTCATGTTAAATGTGAAAATATAATCATATTATATCAAACTGTTTTCATTTAGACATATCAAAACTGCCCAAATTTACCATTGTATTTTTCCAAATTCAATAATTTATGGTAAATACTGTGGTATACTTTATTTTCAAGCCAGCCAAAGTTCTCAGAATATGCCTCAGTTAGCAATTCCACAGTCTTAATTTTGCAGATTTCCAAGTTTCCTATGTAAGGAAGATGCATTTTGGAGTACATGCATTCTTAAATTTGTGCTTTAATCAGACCATAAAATAATTAAAAAATTAGACCAGCTCAAACTTTCTGATACCACGCTATAATACATTGTAATAAACAAACTCATTATTTCACATATTATATTAAATTTTGGACACAACTGCATCATTGCAAAGATTTGACACTGTGCATCTCATAAAGGCTTTATAGGATCTATATTGCCTGCAAATGTCACATTTTCTAATGTCTACCAAATAATACATATAGCTAATAACAGTACCTTCATGTCTATTTAGGTCTGTTGTTGAATCTGGTTCTTGCGACTGAAGTTTTGGGAGCTGAAAATATTAATGTTTAAATTTAAATATATGGCCAAGACTTCATGTTCAACTATTTACTGTACCTTGTCTGACAGATTTTTAAGGACATGTCAGACCAAATGTCTGACAATTTTTATTTAACTCAATTCAGTTATATGTCAATTTTCAGACATACAAAAAAAAGACAATCTTGTTGTTTGGAAATTACTGTCCTCCCAACAGCCTAAATTAGAAAATTTGCATTCCAAATAGGCATTTGACAAATTTTGAAAGATGCATAGAAAATATATTTAAAGGCAGATGATTTTCATTTCATACAACTGTCGTCATAACTACAAACCAAACACCATTTGTTTATTTTTAAATAAAGAGATCTGTTTAATTTTAAATAATAGAGATATCTAAGAAAACGGTAAACTATGCAGACTAGTGAAAGATTTCTTAGTGAAAAAAAATCCAAGTTCAAGGAAGTAAAGTAGTCAATAAAGGTTGCCTAATATTTTTTAATTGTGAGAAACGAACAAAAATTTATTTTTCCTTTAATTGTAACTGCTAAATAAAACTAGAAATGTGACCACTGGACAAGGATGCCCCAGTTCGAGTATGAGTAAATAAATAAAGGCACCAGAGCAAAAAGAACAAATATCTATTTTTAGCAGAAGTGACCTTGACCTTGATCACAACTGCCTTAAACAATTACTAAAAGTAGAAATCTATGAAAGACACCTATATTTCAAATATCTTGACAATTAGTTGATAAATGAAGGTAATACAACAAATTCAGTGATTTAAATAGAAAAATGCAGTGCAAGGTTAAGGCAAAAAAAAAATGTGTGGTTAAGATAACCCTTAACCCTACCTACCCTATTGTTTTCATGCCTATCCTAACACTTTTTATTAAGTTTCAAAACTGAAAAAGTACTGATATCACCTAAGAATAATATATATTTTTTTAATTGCTTCCAAATTTTTAGTGTTGAATTTACATGTATTCAAACTAATAATATGTATACTGGAAACCAAAATACAGCTGTAAAATAGTTGCAGACAATTTCACCTATGAAAATTAAATCCCTTCCTACCTAACGTTATTATTTTTACAATGTTACCCGAACCAAAAACCAAACATTTTTTTAGTTGGCCTAACTAAACAACCAGACAGATAGACAGACGCACACACACACACACACACACACAGATGTATGAACATTTGCAAAAGGTAAATATCCAAGATGCCTGCACACCAAAAATCTTTACAATCGGATAATAAATGAAGGCAGTATAGGTAAATGTTGAAATGCGCAGTGCAGGGGTTAACCAACTGACATAGTGACCTAGTTTTTATTAAAGATGGTCCAGTTTCCTTTTTTTTGAATTCCTCAAGATAACAATGCTGACCAATTTTCATAAACATCGGGTGTACAGTATAACCATTATAATGTAAAATTGCAGGACAGGGATAACCTGACGCACGCATGGACGCCAGCACGCACAAATGAAAACAAAAACAAAAAAGAGCACATATGGATGTTTACAGTATGTGATTACTATGTCAGAGATGGCCCATTATTGGAATGAAATATAATATTATTCTATTTTGTTCTTTTTTAGCCAATCCACTTCAAAAGTAGCTACAGGCCACACAAATAAGTTTTAAATGATAAATCTCACCTCTACTTTATTTGTGTAATCTTGGGTTACTGATGTCAACTTCTGGGCTGTGTAAGTTAATTCAGAATGTTTTTTTGAAGATGTTGAAATATTGGTCTCTTCACAACTGCAAACTGTAAATACATACTGATTTACTAAATGCACAAGTAGGTTATTGATTTGAAGTAAACATGATGTAAAGATTTAAAATTTGCTACAGAAACAGAATCCACTGGAAAGGCTTAAAATGGCTGTCATGGCAATTTCTTATCACAATCTTATTAAACTACATGTATAACTTAATCTCTTTTTTCCAGTATTTTTCAGTTTCTTGTAAAAATAAATATTTGTCAAAAGAAATGCCTTCACAAATCTGTGGTTATGGTCACTTGATCATCAATCCAGTTAGGTTTCATGACTCTTAAGTCAAATATTTTTGAGCTATGCCTGATTTCTAAGACAATGGAGTAACTCTGCCAACACTGAGTGAATCCACAAGCCAAACCCCAGGTGCAAAACTATACAACATACCAACATAATTGTTTCATGAGTCTAGCTCCAGCCCTTTTGGAGTTACAGACAACACAACATATAAGATGAACAGACAAACTCATGCAAAGACAATGGCAAATCTAAGTGCCCCAATCTAAGAGTGGGAACACAAAACAAAAGCCAATTTATAAATGGTTACCAGTCTGGGCCTTCCATTTCAAAGCTCTTCCCTCAACTTCAAACAGGTCATTGTCATGTAGCTGTTTAACTGCCATAGTACGTGAATCAACCAAAAATACCTGAAAGATACAATAAGTGGAACTGCAGGAAAATCTTGCCTTTTTTAAAACTGAACTAGAATTGTGTAAATATGACATTGATGTTCCGGCAAAATAAAATGGCATATGGTGATCATAACTGCAAACGAACAATAAAGAGTGTGGCAATGGCCTGTCAGCAGAGGTAACTAAAAATGTCAAAGTTTTTGACAAAAATTATGTATGACCTTTACATTTGAATGTTTCAAGAGTACTACCATTGTTTTAAAAATCTATATTACCATTGAATATTTCTTGGATTCCCAAGGCAACTTTTTTATTCCGTAATCATACAAAATTTCCTCTCCAGGCTTGATATCTCTGTAATAAATGTAAAATGACTTTGAAACACAGAATATACCTTGTTTTGACAAAAATTAGGTCTTCTCTCTTCTCACACCATCAATGTATATAAATGCTACAAAACCCGTTTCTGACTTAAGTCACAAGCCATATTTTTATTGCTACTCTGTAAATCCACAAGCTAAACCCATAAAAAATCTTAAGACAAGTCTTTGAACTCTTGCTAAAGTAAAATTTTTTAGAAAACAAGCATAGCATAGACACCTCACTGGCAATAATCTTATTTGTGGCAGCCACCATTTAATGGTTATTTCTGCAAGAAAATTTACCATCACAATCTGCAGTGTTCTTGCAGTATTCATCAACAGCTAATGTAAGTGCAAGGTCAACTCTCACACCATGGACATTAAATGTGTTTTGGTTCAAGCTTTACAATTGTACAATTGTGAAATTATGTTACAGAAAGGTTAATCTAGGAGGTGTGTGGGGGTTGGTTATAGGCATATTTTGACAGAATAAGAATTTAACAGTTTCTTAATTTAAACAAGTAATGTAATTCTCAGAGCTCCAGATAGCGTGCGTATAAGCGTAAAATACGCATAGAAAATCTAAAATACGCATCACCTTCAAAATTCGTGCGTCACAGTTACGCACAACAAAATGAAAATACGCTCGTATGTCAAAATTTATGCGTGAAAGAATAGAAATGTAAACATTTGATATGTAGAAAGAAAATGTTTTGAGCATAAAAATACCATATATTTCCATTTTATTGAAAACTAAAAATTCTGTTGTCAACAACGCATGTTAAAAACGAAAGTAGCAGGAAATACAGAAGGGAGGTAACTCCCGTAGATCAACCTGTGAAATTATTGATGAACTTTGTGCCAGATAATCATCGTAGGAGCTAACACAGTATTAAGTTTGTTTAGTCATCTATTGACATGCTTATGCTTCAAAATAAACAAAAATATATTTAAATATCTTTTACTTTTGTTGTTGGAACAAAATAACATGTTTTTCACCTGCAGTTTTGTACTCAATATTTTCGTACCCAGTCTACAGTTATGGACAATTTTCTCTCAGACCAATATTTTTTTTAAGGAAAGATATAAAAAATCTTGTTTATGTTTCTTTAATTCTAATTTCAACTATAATTGTTCAAAATGGAGAACATGATAAGGTTCACGCCAACAGAAATAAAGAAAGAAAAATATTGACTCCTAGAAAATAAAATAATTTCAGGGCTTCCACTAGTGGAAGTTTGGGAGTCATTTACTCCTTGACTTCTGAAAATCAATACTTTCCCTTCTTTACCTATAAAATGTGACTTCCAATATCAGAGATTTTGAAGTATTTGACGTCCAAATTTTGAAAATGGAAGCCCTGATAATTTTGCTGTGTATCCTAAACTTGAGTTCCAGTATACTCTGGAAGTCTGACTTTACATGGCATGTTTTGTATTGTTTCACATTAAATCAGTATTTAATTTGTACAGGTTTTTCTAAAAAAAGAAAATAAACATACAAAACAATAAGTTTAATTTGTTTATAAAAAATGCAAAATGCTTTTTTGACAGATTTTACCCCTTAAGTTTATCAGAATTTGCATTTTACTCCTCACTCTAAATTTTGAGGGGTAAAAACCCCTTGGCCAAAAAAATTATCTGGAACTCTGATTCTTTAGTGAAAGTTCAGTTGATTTTAACATACCTCAAGCAAAACAGGCAAAGGTATCCATTCACTTCTTTCATGACTGAATTTCTCTCTCTCTTTGTGCCATGGTTAACCAGTCGGCCTAGAAATCCACTTTCTTCAGTTGCGTCAACACTGAAATAATAACTTGACACTGTCATTCAATTGAAAGCAACTTGTGTCAAAATCATCTCTGTTTTTGTCACTTTGATACTTAAGGTGATTAATATCCCCACAACACACATTAGTTAAAGAATACATAGCCAAGTTTAAAGTTATATGAATTAGGACAAAATGTTACACCAATGCAGACATTCCGGTAAATATAGTCTTCAGTATGAAATATACATGTATACATGTAATGTTTAGCATTTTTGTTCCATATATTATTCGGTGGTGAAAATGGTTGTGTTCATTATTAAGAAGTTAATTTAAAACTTGTACAATAAATTTCTCTGGGGAAACAAACTTATGTTGCATTTTGAATGAAACTGATGCTGGAAATAATTTATTATTCAAAACATTGCCTGCTGAGAGTTAAAGTAGTTAGCAGTTAATCTCACATTTTACTTAGTTAAGCTAAACTTATCTTTCTCTTTCCACAGGATTTCGTGCCTTTTTAACTCTAAGACAGAGGATCTTCCCTAAACTGAGAGCAAAATCTACCACTATCATACTATCATACAGATTGTCCAAAAAAGGTTCAACATTTCAATCAAGCTCCACTGCTTGATTATCATAAACAAAACTTCCTGCTTCCCTTTAACACTTATTTAGTAATTTACTTACCCATTTTTGATGAAAAATGTTCCCTCCTTGAAGAATTTTAACACAGAGTTCAAAAAGAGACTCAAAATTACAAACAAGAAGAAATCCATTACTGATAGCATGCACATGGCATTGAGATCTTTCAAAAAATGTTAATCTTTTAGATAAAATACGAATATGTTTCCATTTTAAAACAAATAAACATGATTTGTTTAAACAATGGTTTATTTGGCATGTGGTGGCAGACATCTTTGTCCTCATACAAAATAATGAGAAGTCCCTATTTGCTTTTTCTCGTTTTCTTAGGGAAAGGGCATGGTCTTTTTTTAATAGGAAAATAAGCATTAAATTCCCAAATTTTGGTTAAAACTAGCACAGAGCGTAAATTATCTAAGACTTTGCAAGATTAATTAGTATCAAAATATAAACAATTTTATGAAAATCTTTAGGTCATCATGCTACTTTTTGAGTTATATAAATATGCCACTGAAAGTAAGATTTTTCATAAAATTGTTTCCAGTTTTTGATATTCTATAATCAAGCCAAGTTTCAATAAATTCTCTCCTCTAGTTTTAATTATGAGGTATGTATTTAACTTAGTATATAAGGGGGGAAAATTACGCAGGTAAACATTAATTTGGGAAAAATTACATTATGACAAATGCCGCCAAAAATGTAAAGATTCTTTTTGTATAAATGACCATTTTTCAAAGTCTGATCTGTATAATATATACAATATAGTAGCTCCCACTCAATAACAACTTCTTCCGACACCGCAGTGGCCCCTTAGTGTTGGGGAAGCTGGAAGGTGAAAAACGTAGCAAATAATTGTACGTTTCGGTCATTCATGATAATTTTGTGACAGGTCCCTGCCCTTCACGTACATAAATAATTATAAGAATGGCAATTTTCTGTTTGGAAAATGCCCAATTAAAACCTTTTGGGAAACTATTCCTAGAGGAAGTATCAATAATTTGACCCCAATTGATGATAAAATGAATATTTATATGCATAATCAGGTATAAAAATCTAAAGTTTACAATTTCAAACATCAATATATAGCTATTTGTTTCATTTAAATCAACGAAATGTGGTACCGTAAACGAGTCATAGTGAATTTTACCTCCTGTTATTTATGCTTGTCTCTATTATTTTATGTTTTAAATCAGCAATATGGATTAAAAATTTCAATATTTTCAGTATATATGTTGAGCTAATAAACATTAATGTTTTTAAAAGAGAGTTTTATTGTCTTTATTACATTTTTCAAAGGTTTGATTTTGATATTGTCCACACAGTAAATTGCAACTATGGGTAAGGCTTAGAGGGATGACATCTATAAAATATCAGTCTATAAAATGGGTCATCCCATAAGCCGAACTAGTAAGGCTAGGGTACGACCTAAAGTGTCCGAGTGCCCAGTAAGTGGCATCATCTTTCTTTCCATTTGTAAACTTCAAAATGGTGCTGTTAACATTACTTTTGTAAATAAATAGAATGTATCAGTTGGTAAGTAAATGGTCTTCAGTGATTTTGTTTGGATTTTTCACAACCACCTGTGTCTTTTTAAGGGGAAAATATAGCGCAATATATCATTTAAAGGGGAAAATCTATAATCATACAATAAACTAAGAACAGTCAAATATAACCAAACATTTAACCATCTAAATTAACAGGCAAGGTTCACACACTAGGTTGACTATAATGAGAGATGATTTCATGCATTGCAATGCTGTTAAGTGATAGCAATATTGGACTATTTCATTTCAAGGGGAAAATATTATATTAGTTAAATTTTAGGGAAAATATAGCATTTTTGGGCTAGGGGAAACAGCCTGTATTCGGCTGTAAAATATACGAAAAAAATCACTGGTCTTAGTTTTGCAGGAGTATTTGTTCTAAATTTACGACGAGCACCGTTCTGACCACTTTGTAACCTTAAAGAGGTATCAAGAGTTCTCGACTCCCAGAGTTTTCGACCCTTAGAAAATGTACGATAGTTTTCAACCCCTAATTTTCGACCCATATAGAGATGAAATTGGTCGAGAGTTTTTGACCCCTGCTCCATTTGGGGTAAAATAAATATGATAGCTTAATTAAATATGATGAAATAATCTTATGACTAGATGACACTTGCTTTTCAAAATACAGATGTACCCGCGAATCAGTATACTGGGTTGACCAATTACCGGTGTGTTAACATTTTAATAGTGGTCTACATTCGGTAGTACTATAACATTTTTCCAACCAACAAAAAGTACATAATTTTGCCGATAATATTGGAGAAAATATTTACACAAAACGGTTAACAAAGTCAAAGTGCAGCTTACTGACATTGAAAATTCGGAATAGTCGGACTACACCGGTAATTAGTAAACAACGATAATCAGTAAAGTGACTATATATTATATATTTTTAGATTTACCATTTTTTATTATACTTGTCATTATGAATAAATATGTTTCACTTGCTAAAAACTTTGTATAAGTGTTCTGAAGTAAAATATTTTATGTAATGATATATATATTACAAGATTAATAAATTTAATTTAAATATTATAAACTTAATAATAAGTTACATGTGTTGCTTGTTATACGTTGTTTGTCGCAATTAACACCTTTTCAAAAAACGAGTGCGTTTTTATTCATTGCACCTTTGTCAAAAAACTTAATCAAATAAAGAACTGTTTATGTGAAGTATGTATTGTTATATTTGATGAGTGTTAACAGCTAAAAATTGTGAAATAAATATTTGCTTGTTTAAGTATTCTTTTTTATAAATTCCTTTAAAATACAACCAAGAAATGCAAGAAAAACAATGTTTTTTTTTCTCACTCAACTGGAGTCGTGCAACTTCAAAGTAGGAAAATAAAATGGTCAAATGGACCCTCTGGCACAGAAGTGGTTAATGTGTTCACAATAGTATAATGCTTCCAACCGTTACAAATATTAATTATTTATATTAATGAAATATTTAATTATCATAAATTAACAAAAAAAATCTACTCAATTATCGCAAGTCCTGTAATCATAATAGAAGGAAGTGGCTAGCCGTACGGGCCCGTACGGCTAGCCAAAAGTTCTAGCCGTACGTAAGTCACGTACGACTAGCCAGGACACACTGTATTGGCTAGCCGTACGGCATTTTTCAAAAATATATATTGAAGGCGAAAGCTAGTGCATATGTTAATTATGACTAAGCGAGGGTTTTAGTCAAGAATGTTTACTTTTTAGATCGACGTGTTGGCTACAGTAAATAATTTACTTTGTCATCTCAAGACGTCGAGAAAAAATAGCGTTTGGTTGCAGTTGAATAACATCAATTGAAATAGTTTACAAAATTTGATAATAATCTTTTTTTGTTTCATTAAGTTTAAATTTTAAACTGAAAAAAAAACACCGAAAAAAATTGTTGTTGGGCTCTGATAATTGCGTCAATTACCGACGGTATAGAAGTTTGTCCATCGTCCATCATTAAGAAAAGTTTGCATTATTAAATTATTTTTCCTTTTCACCGTTTTTTTTAATATTCTTTTTATTTATTTATTTACTCCCCTCCGATCATTATTTATTCGATCCATGTGCTTAATTAACAGATTTAACAATTCATCTTTCATACAAATCATAAGCATGAAAATTAAGGACGTTATAACATGCAACTTTGACACTCAATTTTATTAAGATAGATTATACAACGCTTACTCGTATTTATTTTTTTGTGCAAAATTGCGGAGCATCTTTATTAAAGTGAACACACTAGAACAAATGCGGAGATTTGATTAAAATCGTTGTTTAAAGACACAAAATAACAAATGCATTTTCGACTTCCATATAATTTTGAAAAGTGCCGTACGGCTAGCCAATACAGTGTGTCCAGGCTAGTCGTACGTGACTCACGTACGGCTAGAACTTTTGGCTAGCCGAATGGGCCCGTACGGCTAGCCACTTTCATAATAGAAACCGTTTTATAGCCGTAGGTGGTTCTTCCAAAACTTCAGTCTTGCAAAATAATTAAGGGGTCGAAAACTCTCAATAGGGGTCGAAAACTCTTAGGGGTCTAAAACTCTGGGATCAAAAACTCTTAGAGGTCGACAACTCTGGGGTTCGAGAATTCTGGGGGACGAAAACTCTCGCAATCACAAACATTGGCACATTTCAACATTGAATAAGCTGACCAGAGATACAAACACACACGTAGAGTTGGTGTATGAAATTAGTTTTCGATTGAACTGTAATTATCTAAATTATACAGTAACTTAATGCGATGTAATTAAATCTTAAATAAAGTGAACAACCTTTCATCGATCGCGTCGCCATCTTGGATAAGTTAAGCGCGCCAAAAAAAGTAAATTCCGTCAAGACCGTAATAAAATGGGGAGTGAGAGTGAGATACGTTTTCTGGGCACTACTGTCCTCATTTTCGGAAACTTCGGCAAAATTTCGGATACGTAATTTTATCAAATATAACAACCGTTTATGTTTGGACATATATTTTGTCCCCACTTGCCGAACCATGTCCCAAGATGGTGGGTGAAATGACCATTAAATGTCCCTACATAAGCCCTTACAGCATCCCCCCCTCTCTCTCTCTCTCTCTCTCTCTCTACTCTCTCTCTCTCTCTCTCTCTCTCTCCCTCTCTCTCTTTCTCTCTCTCTCAGCAAATGATCTAACAGTTTTTGTTCCTAAAATACATGTTCTTTGTTATATTCTTCAATGCCATTACTAATGTTATTTGAACTTGTGGTCAACCCCCTTTTCTATACATTTGCTTTGTACTTGTAAAAATGGAAATGGATTAAATATGTTTAAACTAAACTAAACTTAAAATAGCCATTATTGTATTAACTATAAAGTAAGCAAAATGTAAGAATGTTACTGTTTTCAGTGGATAAGTAAAATCAAATGCTTAATCTTTATGGGCAGTAAAGCTTCTGGTTGTACATATCTGTACATATCGATATGTTAATAATCAAGATAACAGTTTATTTTACAGGCTGGGAGCTGTCAAGAGTTTAAGTACAGAGGTTCTGCTTCCACAGACATAAAGTGTTATTATATTTGAGCCGCGTCATGACAAAACCAACGTAATGCATCCGCGCAGTCTGATCAGGATCCATGCTTTTCGCTATCAGTTTCTCTACTTATAATAGGGTTTGTAAGCGAACAGCATGGATCTTGTTCAGACTGCACGGATGCTCAAGCTAGTCTGGATCCATGCTGGTCGCAAACGCATTATGTTGGTTTTGTCGTGACACGGCTCATTTTATATTGATGTGTATTAAACAATACTGAAACAATGCAAAGGTCTTCATCCTGTTTTAGTGTTGTTGTTTATTCCGTCCTATACCTCTTATTAGGTTATAAATTATTTATTTCGCTAAGCAAAGCGAATTGAAAAAAATAACATTATCATTATCAAGCTATTTATATTTTTCAGATATATCTAAATGTGGAGAAGTAAAACTAAGATCTGAGAAGGTGGTTAATTTCGTAACAGTAGAAATTGAATATCATCCATCAAATTATGAGAAACGTAACAGTAATTCTAAACGAACTTGGAGATATATCACAAAGAAATATTCGAAAACGTTGGAAATGGCAGCTGGTATGTACGAACAAATACGGGAGACAAATGATGTATACGTGTTGAAAATATACAGGTTTAATATTTCTATGAACGGGCGAA